GTATTCTGCCCCGCTGCCTCATGGGAGGCCGCACGCCTAACCATAGCGACCGCGCTATTTGTCTGCACTCCCTAACTTCTAGCTGTTCCACACCGCTGAGTATGCGTTAGCTGCGATATTTTAGTTTCGAGCAAGTGCTGCACCGTGAGGATAGCGCAGGCAGGGACTATGGAGCTACATCAGGGCATCACTACCCTCCAGCTAAGTTGTCGTGCACTTTCGCACCGAGACGGCGGGCCTGCCCTCGCACAAGAAAAGGATCGTTCGAGAAGGTGAGTGTGCGGATTGTCTTTCAAGGCACCTACGAGTGAAGTCCGTGACACAGTTGCGTGGTGACGACACCGCCCTAGCAGCTCCGCATTGTGACCTACGCTACACTCTCCTAAATTGTACTATCTTGCCGGAAACCGACATAACCTTTGAGTCCATCAGTCTAGTTATCTGGCGACAGAGTGACGACATGATTTCAGCAATCCTCCAACTGAACCTGATGATGACCGTCTGGATGGTAACGTGCGGTCTCGATGCTACTACGCTATGATGCGTTGCTCAGCTAAAAACAGGTGGGTTATTGGTAAAAACGTGTTTGTTACGCTTCCATGATTTCTCGATCGGCCATGCGATATGCCAAGGATCTGTGTGGAACACTTCGAAGGATGATGCTTTTCGTCCTCATGGGTGCGGTGCTAAGAGAAAGCAGAGACCAGGCCTATGCTAGGACATGTTTTATGATTTATTGGCTAATTCAGTTTTAACACATTGACGACCGCGTGATACGCATTGAATGCACGCTTTGTAGGCCACGTGGGACCGCGTGCATTGAATACGAATCACGATCAACAAATCCATATCTTTCACTAGTGCATGATTAGGTTTAGTTTCTCCTATTCATTCTATAGTTCAGTCCTTCGGTATACTTGTACAACACGTGCTCTATGGAATTATTCAGTACACACTAGTTTAGCAAAGACTTTTTTGGGTAAAGAACACCATTTGCTTGGACTGGTTTGCTCCTCAACTCTGAATTGGTTTGCTCTCCAACACTTTACTAACAAATGCAGATAAATACCAAAATTGATAATGTTAAAAAATTATAAGGTGAAGGATTCTGAGTTCTGTAGAAGGCACGACTGTTTTTTATGAAAACATTGGTTACAGACAAATTTCTGGCACCTAGTGCAACGAGAGTTGGCCAGCCTAGTTTTTTCCATAGTGAATGATTGACTCACTTCATAATTGCTCTCTCAACCAGGTTTTCCGATCCAATCTCCAAAAAAGCGCCTCGTGGGACCGCGTGAACTGTATGCGTACCGCGCTTGTGGCGTTCGAGAAAGCGCGCGTGTCCCACGCGGCCGAAAAAGTAAAAACCCGCGCGGTCGTCAACGTGTTAAATTGATAAGAACGGAACTAGCTATGTTTTTTAGATCTTGCTTGAGCTCTATGGGTCCGGAGAGCTATGACGATAGCGATGCTCTGAACGATAGCGTGTACAACCCACTCGAAGCACTCAACGCATGCATCGTATGCCTCTTTCCCTAATTTACTAATAGTTCCAAGAATTTGTGGTGTTATTTATCCTCATTAGACATGCGGAGTACATTGCCATCGGATATGCGCTGGACCACCATGGTCCACCTACACCCCTGAGGATGAAGGCGACGAGGAAAAATGGCAATGCGAGGACTGCAGGTGATATTCACGTAACCGTAACGTAACCTAACGTAACTATTAACGTAAGTATTAACCCATTGCGTACCGCGGCGTTTTCGCGAAAACCGGCGCCTGTGGCCGACGCCTTTTTATCGACGCGACTCGTGGCGCGCCGAGTATAAACAAATGTGATTTTATCATATACA